CTTTCTCTTTCTTTTTTGTTTTTCTTTTAACTTCCCCCTATATTTTCTAGATGCTAGGTGTGATTGTATAGTTTTGAACCATGTGAATTTCATTGTGTTTGGTTGTAAGTTTATGTGACTGTATGGAGATAAACAACTATGCTATGTGTTTGGGGGATTCGTCTTCAAGTGTGGCTAGGTACGACATGATTTATTATCACTATCAATTGATGGAAGATTCGTATCCTGTATTTTGAAGGTTTGGTTTAGCAATGTTCCTCATGCTCGTTTGGCTGAGGATAAAGGAGGTCAAAATTGGATCTCAATTGACAAGGACAAGTTCAAGTTTCCTGGAGGAGGTACACAGTTTATTCATGGGGCAGATCAGTACTTGGATCAGATTGAAAAGGTTTTCAGTTGTTTACAAGATAATACGAGTTGCCCATTTTACCTATTAGATGTGCTTGCCCTATAGAGATGAAATATAATGATTTCTGAAATCTTTAATTTTTCGCTTATGTTGTCTAGATGGTCCCTGCAATCGCATTCGGCAAACACACGAGAGTTGCTTTGGATGTCGGTTGCGGTGTTGCGAGTTTTGGTGCGTATTTACTGTCACGGAATGTCATCACTCTCTCCGTGGCTCCAAAAGACGTTCATGAGAACCAGATTCAATTTGCGCTTGAGCGTGGTGTTCCTGCAATGGTAGCAGCATTTGCAACACGGCGTTTGCTTTATCCAAGTCAAGCATTTGATCTGATACACTGTTCAAGGTGTAGGATCAACTGGACTCGCGACGGTATGATATTATATCAATGCCTACAGTTTTTCAAGTATTTTTATTATAGCATAGAACATATATTAATGCTCTTGATTTTATTCTCTCCGTGAAATGTTAAATGTAAATCCTTTGTTGCACTTTTGTACATTTTTGACTCTGCCTTTTGATTTTTCGTTTTTGTTTAATCCGTCTTTTGGAGTCAGAAGCATTGTCAGCGACCACCTATTTATGTTAATCTCATCTTGTGTGATCTCCTCATTGTTTGTCCAATAGATGGCATTTTGCTACTTGAAGTAAATAGACTGCTCCGAGCTGGAGGATATTTTGCTTGGGCAGCACAGCCTGTCTATAAACATGAACCAGCCCTTGAAGAACAATGGGAAGGTAATTTACCTGTCAAATAGGTTCTCAAATACTTCTGCAACTTTTCTCTGGAGTATCACATAGATCTTGGATTTGTAGGTTTATCGTCTGTGGTTATTAGTTTATGTTCGAATCACTAAAACAGGAGCAAGGATTATTCTTATGCTGTCTTTGTTTAACTTTTTGTTAATTTTAGAAATGGTCAACCTTACCAGTCGGCTCTGTTGGTCACTTGTAAAGAAGGAGGGATACATTGCTATATGGCAGAAGCCTTTAAATAACAGCTGCTATATGAACCGTCAGGAAGGAAGTCAACCGCCATTGTGCGAACCTAATGATGATCCAGATAATGTGTGGTAAGTTTAATCTTGGATTTGATTTTTTAGTTACTATGAAAAGATAGAGGAATTATTCATTTGAATCATTTCTTAATGAAGAACAGATATGTAAGGCAAGTGCCATTACTAGATTTCAGAAAGTGAACTGGAGGTGGTACATTTACTTTGTTTTGTGTTTCCCATCCTGGTAACTGTAAATAATTTGTCATGAGCTGATCAACTGGTTCAATCGGAAAAGTTTATGTGAACTTGGGTACTTATTCTAATGAATATATCTAAAAGAACATCTCCAACTTACGCACATACTGAAACAAGAACAAGACTAGAATTCGAGCACAATATTGACTTTTTTTATATTGTGTCAAGGAACCTTTAATACTAAAACACTGTGAGTATGGATGGCTTCTAGGAAGTGGTCATATTTGAAGGCTACTGCAAGGATTAGTCTAAGCAATTTATAGTGCTTGTAATATACTGCTAGTTGAACTTGTTGCTCTCAATTTAAAATAATATTAAATAATAATTTATTGGAGTATGTAGAGAAGGCTGAGAAGCATGACTTGATTTTCACAATTATGCATCACCACTACCATATAGGTATGTCGATCTGAAGGCATGCATAACACGTTTACCAGAGGAAGGATACGGCTCGAATGTCACATATTGGCCAGAACGGCTACAAAATCCTCCAGACAGGCTTCAAAGCATACAAATTGATGCTTACATATCAAGGAAGGAGCTTTTCAGAGCAGAATCAAGATATTGGAAAGAAATTATTGAGGGATATGTACGTGCTCTACACTGGGGCAAGATGAAATTTAGAAACGTATTGGACATGAGAGCTGGCTTTGGAGGGTAGGTTCTCTCTTCACAAGTAATTCCTGTCATGTTCCAGTATGCTGTTTTGTTTGCATTGGCACAATTTGAGAGTCACATTTATCTTCTTGACTTTTGATAGTGTTTTCTGTGGTACTTCTGGACAAACTAATTAGATCATTTGTTGCAGCTTTGCAGCAGCATTAATTGAAAACCGATTAGACTGCTGGGTTCTCAATGTCGTCCCAGTTAGTGGGCCCAATACGTTGCCTGTCATATATGATCGTGGTCTTATTGGTGTTATGCATGACTGGTATGGATTTTCATGATGATGGTATTCCTTGTTGAATAATATTTATTTGACCTCTGGCGCATGGCTATTGCATGAACTTTTATATTAATGGTTAATTTTCTCATGCCTGGGTCCAGTGTTATGAAATTGTGGATAGTCAGTGCCAAAGGCCTCCACAGAGGGANATATTGAACTTCTGTTTACACGCCTAATGAACTTGACCAAACTGCTCAGGTGTGAGCCATTCGATACATATCCAAGAACCTACGACTTAATTCATGCTGCTGGACTTTTCTCAGTTGAGAAGAAAAGGTAATCCTCTCTCTCTTGCAGTTTATGGTCCATAATTCTCTCGGTTGCAATGAAATACATGAGATGACACTACTTTTCCAAATATTTCCCGAATAGTCATTTGTAGGCGTTATGCCATCTGAATATTGACATGCAATACAATGCCTCCTATATATATGTATATAATTTATTTATTCATTCATTCTGCAACTCAGATGCAATATATCAAGTATCATGCTTGAAATGGATCGAATTCTAAGGCCCGGTGGACATGTGTACATTCGTGATTCCGTTTCTATAATGGATGAACTTCAAGAAATTGGGACTGCTCTTGGTTGGCACGTGACATTGAGGGACACATCTGAGGGCCCACATGCCAGTTATAGGATCTTGACGTGCGATAAGCGCCTCATACGAGCTTGAAGACAAATGAGAATTTTTCCTCTGCGTTTAACAATTTGTAAATGAATGCTGGTACTAACAGCTACACGCCAACATTGCATAAGTTATGATGGGTGGAAAGATATTTCTTTATGGTGAATATAAGAGGGTCAATAGTGATACTGCGGTCACATGGTTTATTACACAACTGTAGCATAAGCTAAAGCCCGGGATATATGTAGTAAGTTTGTATGATCAAATTTTCCCTACTGGTTCACTTTGACCTTTGCACCTGCCGCGAATGTTATGTTTATTTGTTTTTCAGTGATTTGAAATTATATTCCTTAATATATTTATATTGTACTATCTTGAATTATTTTATCATTAGTTTAACAAAAGTGGGAATATATTTTATGATTGACCGTATTTGATGTATTTGAATGTTGAAATGTAATATTCAATGGTATTGTTTGAAACCTACGATTGGATAATAATAATGAATTATTGAAAATTCAGAAATGAAATTAATTGCTATTGTTTTCGAGAATCTTGTCTACTAGAGAAATCTTTGTAGTATTTGATTTTAGTAATTAATACTATCCTCATCATTGCTCACCATTGATTGAAATGATGATCACTGTTTTTATTCTGCTATTGGTTTTTGATGTCTTCCTTTTGTTTTATAAGAATAACCCTAATTTGCTAGTCAACAGCCATCATTTTTTTATTGTCAAATTGAACCCAATGAACTTTTCTTTTCTCCATTTATATATACTAGTAAGTAAAGTGCATGGTGAATGTTTTTGGTTGATCATAAATTAATTAATTTACTAAATATATCATTGCAGAGACAGAAATAAAATGTAGAACAAATGAGTTCTCAATGTATTTTTTTTTTTCAAAAATAATATAATGATATTCTAACATAAAAAGAATGAAATAACATATTACAACCCACAAAAATATATGAAAAATGAGTCTCTAATTAAAAAATAAATACAAAAGCACTAAATAACTAAATAAGGACCTAATTGTTAGTGTATATACTAAAAGCTTGACTTTAGATGTTATTTACACTATTCCTGTTGAATGAGAATCATGTTTGATTAAACAAATTCTATGTTATATTGTTTTGCACTTAAATAAAGTGGTTCATCACGGATGGACAAAAGATTATTTTATCAGTCAGTTGCAAAACATAAATAATTGGTTCACAACCTAGATGGAAATGAACAAACCATCGGAACAGTTGTAGTATTAATTGTACAGTTGGTCTTGATTGATTAGTTGCACTAGTACACTTGTGTATTGAACGGATCCCAGAGAGGAGCAGTTCGTTTTATACCGATCATCGTAAACAAACTAGGTCTCGGTTAATTACTGCGTTCTCTTAACTCGTAAGATATAAACAGACACAAGTAGTAGACACTGCTTTGTTTCACCAAACAGTGAGATTCATTCTGTTTGGGCCAATATTCTGGGTGAGTTGGGTAGTCATACTGCATGCATGTGTGTTGTTCGAATATTTACGGTCACCATGTGCCTTAGTCTGATGATGTCCCCGAAATGAGCTCATGAAAGATTATTATATTAAACCCTGCTGGTAGATTAAGTTCCGACATAATAATAATGATTTGAGTGGTACTAGCTTCGGTTCAAGATGTCGATTAATTTGATTGTCAGTAATTATATTAATTGACGAAGAATATATCTTAAACGTGGGGATGTAATTTGAGTAATTATAATTAAATCTCAAATCGTAATTTGGTAATTAAATTGGGAGTTTCAATAATACTACTTTAGTGGAATGACTATATTATTCGTATATCAGCGGAGTGGGCTTGGCCCATAGTTAGGTCCATATATGGGGAGCCCAATTTGATGTCTCCTTAGAGTCTTTGTTGTAGCCTGTATATACATCATACTCTTGGGATTGAGAGACACACAATCACATGCATAAAATGCGTCGGCTGGCCCTAGTTCCCAATCGAGTCGTCTTCGAGCTTGTCACCAACGAAGACAATCGAAAAGGTGTCGGGTAATACAGTAGAAGGCTCCGAGGTTGACGAGGCCCTAGCGACTTCTGCGCGCTACCGTATGCCCGCGCGCTCTTTGGTGAGATGCGCACGACCCGCTCGCGCCAGTCTCAACGACCACCGCGCACGACTTGCACGCAACCGATCTTTACCAGTCCATTCACTAATGTAGGTTTAAATTGTAGAATTTAATTCGTAACTTGCAAAATGACGACGATCTTTATTGGTCCATTCACTAATGCATATTATTGATGTAGTAGTTTTTTTTTTTTTTTTATANTTTTTTTTTTTTTTTTATTCATGTTGGATAATTCAAGATTGATTTTCGTTCATTTTGGTTGACGTTCTCATAGAAAACATTCATACCCGTTGGAACCAATACATCAATAGTATTGCAAAATTTCTTAATTAATTTGACAAAACGTCTATTTTATTCAAACACTTAGAAATATTCTAACAAAACATACAGTCAAACGTCATGATTGTATGATCTTTATAATGTATTTCAACTAACATTTCATGAATATCTCTGTGAAAAGTAGTCTCACTAAAATTGCTGGTATCTTTTTATCATTGTATAAACTACTGCATTATGACATTCATCATATTTTTATGCATTATGAGTGATATATTGTGATATTTAGCCATATTTATCGTGGGATTGTGCACCATTTTTTTTATTTATTAATCTATGAGGTACATTTGTCGTTGGTTTTGCAGGAAATATGCCCAGAAAAGCGTTGAAAATGGATTTGGAACGAAAAACGGCGAAAACGAGGTGCAGTTGAGGACACAGGACTCTTGTGGGCAGTGGCACGAGTCGTGTGGACTGGGAAAAAAGAGAGTTTTGCTACGGCTTTTTACACGGGTCGTGTGGCTTGTCACACAGGTCGTGTGGACTCACACGAGTCGTGTGCCCCGGTCGTGTGGGGGGTCGTGTGAGTCTGGAAGTTTGGCGAAAATTGGAGAAACGTCACACGACTCGTGTGAGTAAGTAACACGAGTCGTGTGACGCGCATATCAGTTCAACAAAGACTAGGATTCTAGTGCGACTTCTTCCCTTTTTCAACCCATATTGGGCCTACACTATAAAAGTGACTTGGAGAACTCGGTTTTGGGATTTTTGACAACTTTGGAGGCCAAGAGAAAGCACGAAACACACGAGAAATTCGAGGAAGTCAAGATTGAAGATTCGGGAACTAACGGCGACAATAGTTCTTCTTTCTTTTCTCTTTTTATTCTTCATTGAACTCATGGATTTATTTATTTTGAGTTTTGAGAATATATTTAGTAGTTAAACCTTTTTGAGATTCTAGAATTTGTGAGTACTCGGTTTATTTTATGAAGTAATTTTATTTATTCATTCCGGTATATCTTTCGTTTATCAATTTCTTTACTTATGTGAATAGTATGAATATAGGGCCCGCATTTATGCATATTTGTGATTGATTTGAGACCGAGAGGAGATAGTTGATTGCTAAAATTGGGAATTTATAACGTAAGAGACTAAACAGACCGAGAGGTTGATATAATCTTGCAAGGGAACTAAAATCCTAGGAACTTATGGGAGTTAGTTGTTCATCTTGAGACTGAGAGGAGACAGATAACAATTAATATCTACGACTTAACTTGTTCGAGAGAAAGGTTGAAATTATTTTAGTGATTATCCCTACGATTAGTAGAATTAAATAAGGTTTGAATGAATAACAAATCTTTCCTAGAATAATCCCAAGGAAAACATAGTTGTTTGTCCCATTTTTGTTACATTTTTCCTTGTTATTTTTCATTTCTTATTCCCTTGTTTTAGTTCTATTCGTTAATTTTATTTGTTTTTATAGTTTATTGTGCGTCTTGTTTGATTTTGGTTTCTATGTGTTGCTCGGGTATTTTTCTGGTTTTTCTCGTCTTTGGTGTGCATGATGGAAGGTTCGGGGGAATTTACTTTTCATGATAATTGGACTGGGTGAACACAATTAAATAGACCGTTTCATTGGCGACACACAGGAAAAAGTGGAATCGAATTCCGATACCAAACGAGCTTGAACGACTCCAAAACGTGAAGTCGCGCAAGAAGTCCAAGCACGGCCCCAGGCTCCACGCCCGCTCCGCGCTGCGATGCTTGCCATGAGGTCCTTCAGACAGCCGTTCCAGGTCCTCGCGTCGTGGCACCCGTCACGTCGCTGCAGTCCACTTCCTCCGCGCCGCGCCATGGGCAGACAGAGACGCAGTCCAGGTAGCCTCCACGCCGCGACAGAGTGCCACGCCCGCGGAACCTGGTGACCTTCACGCCGCAATGTCCAGCCACGACGCAGCACCAGCTCTCTTCACAGCGCGCCTCACCCTTCACGGCGCGGCACTTGCGCCCAGCAACATCTCCTTCACGGCGCGACAACGAGCTCCTTCATGCCGCGAGGCTCTTGGCACGGCGCGACACTGCTCCTCTATATATATTGAGATCTCGGGTCTTCGACAGAATTATCTCTTCTCCCCCAAATAGAAACCCTACCCCTCTTCGTTCCTTTCTCTCGTTCTTTTCACTTCTCGTAATCTTTTTCAACGTAGAACACAGATTAAAACTTGGATTTCAACATAGCTTTCGGATTCAAGCTTGTTTATCAGATTCAACCTTGGGATTTATCAATCGTATGATTTCTCTTTTAACTTTATCGTTAAATATGAATTCTTTGATTGAGATGATGTTGATGTTGAATTGATCATGAGTAGCTAAATCCTTATGCTAGGCTGATGGGTGTCGAATCCAACAATAATAAATTCCTGCTTCTAAAAGAACTGTAGTAGTGGTAAGCAGGGTCGTATCCACAAGGATTGGCTAGACAAAGTGTCGATGCAACTATTCGTGAAAGAAATAAAAATAAAATGATGGGGGTTTGATGATTTTTATCTAACTAATAAAAATAAAATAAAATCTAACTATATACGAAAACAAAATGGGTGATTAAAAATAGAGAAAATATCCAACCAAAGGAAAAACTCGTAGAAATGATTCAACGATTCGATCACGGATGCAATAATAATTCTCCTACTCTCGATTAAACTGGTTATGGTTATTGGTACGACCTAACAACCTATCCTTCCTTACTTGCTCGATAATCAGGATACGATCTCTAATTATTTCTCCAATCAACAGACAACCCTAGATACGATCATAGGATTTAATCTATCAACAGCATTGAAATCTAGAAGGACCACCAATTCTAGCCAACAAACGCACATGTAGGATCATTTAGACTAGATCATATATCTCCCTAAGCATACAATCGAAAACCCTTAGTAATCAACTATGCTATTTGCCACAAATATTAGAACGATCAAACAATTACGGATTTAACTATTCTAAATAACGATATGCGTTTCAACAATCAAACAAATGGCCAGTTTGCATCAACAATCAAAACACAATTGATAATAATCACAAGAGATATATAAATAAAAGAGAAGTAGGGAATATAAATTCAATTAGATCTCACAAATCATGAAGAACCAAGTCTAGAATAATCCTTTGGCTAGAAAAATAAATTAATTATCCATAAACATGGGAGAAGCCTCCCAATTATTCATGAAAAATAAAAGAGAAAAGCAAAAGAAAAAAAAAAGAGAAAAGAAGAGAAGATGGCGTGCGTAGAGAGAGGAAGAGAAAAGAAAAGAAAAGATAAGATAAAAGATAGATCCTAAAATAAATCTAACAGTCTGGTTTTTAATCAAACCAGTCTATTCCTAATCCTAGCAGAAAGTGCGTAGAAAAATAAAGAGATCATTCTCTCTCCAAAATATCCTAATAAAATATAATAGTCCATAAATAAATAAATATTCCATAAAGTCTTTATTATTTCTCTTTCCAACTCAAGACTCCTTCCTTCTTCTAACTCTTGTAGAAAATTAGCGTGCCCACGCCTTAACTCAAATTCGTTTCTTTTGCTATCCAATCATCATAAAATTCAAAATTCCGAGATCTCCTACAAAAAATATAAAAATCAATTAAAATCAATAATTAAGCTTATACAAATACCGAAAAAGTATGGAAAACATGACAATAAACATGTCAATAATACAACTTATCATAGGCATAGGGGATTAATGTTTTAGATTCGTTTGTGATTGTTGGGATTTGTTGATCGTTCAATTTGTACGAGTTGTTCCCTTTTTCAATTATTACGCTTGAATATTGAGAATTGTTGAAGGGTGACACTTCAACTTCCAATTGTTTCAATTGTATTTGATTTATTCGTGCATGATGTTGGTAATTCTTATTGATTAGTCGGTTAACGACCCTCTAGTCTATCTTAATCGACTCTTAGAACCGAAAGAGGAGGAGTCGGTCGAAATAGACTCGTATAAACTAGGCTTGTTCGTAACTGTATTGCCTAGGTGTTAAATGACTTGTTAATTTTGCCGTTCAAGTTTGTTCTCTTGTTACGAAAAGTTATTGAGGATGATTATTTGAACTAGCAGATTATTCAAATCACTTAACCGAACAATCAATTGTCCATTAATTGCAATTCGAACAAAAATAGATATCCCCGACTCCCTAACTTTTTAAATCCTGCTTGTTCTTCGTTGTTGCTTTCAAAATTTCTATTGCTTTATTTAAATTCTCTTAGTAGTTGATAATTAAAACCAAAACTAACCATCTGAATTAGAATGTTTAGAAATTTTATTTCTTTTATTTGTGTTTGAATAAACGTGCATAATAATCCGGCTAACCTTTCTCGAGAGACACGACCAGGTGTTCGAATCGTTCGATTCTACTCCGGTAAAAAAAATATTAACAACAATAGCCTAGAATCTATTTACTCATTCTTGATTTATCTTAGAACAAGCCTTCATTAGTGTTAGAATTTATTTTGCAATAATTCATTAGTTTAGAATAAAATCTCCATCTATTACTATATAACAAGATTACCTATTTAATAAATATATATGGACATTTTTTCATAAATTTGTTAATAAAAATATGTTAAGTTAACTTAAAAAAATATTTTTTTAAAAAATATTTTTGTTAATAAAAAATATGTTAAGTTATATAGACATTTGTTAGTATAAATTTGTTAATATATATTTAATATTTTCTTTTATTCCAATAAATGTGTTTTATGTTTAGAACAATGATCCTATCATCAATTTTAAAATATTATCCTTAATATTACTAGTCCGTGCATTGCAACGTTACCACACTAGTGTTTTATAAATTATAATTATAACCTTATAAATATATATTCACTTATAAAAACAGTACTTAAGATAAACTATTAAAAATATAAAATAAATAAAATAGTAATACTATTTTTTTACAAAAATATATTTGTACTACTACATCTACGAAGGAGGCCGATAGCGCAAGCGCAACATTTTCTAGGGCACCATTTGTCACAACCCTAATATATAAACACCACACAATAGAAGGCTCTCGCAAGAACATAGCGCAGAGTGATTTGTATATACCGCGGTTTTTCTATTCTAGGGTTCCCTTCTTACCAATCCTTGTTTCCATCAATGGCGGAGGAGAAGTTAACACGATCCAAGGGCGTCGTGTCCAGGTTCAATGACCAGAAAGGCTACGGCTTCATCAAGCCCGACGAAGGCGGCGAGGATCTGTTCGTCCACCAGACCGCGATCAAATCCGACGGATACCGCACCCTGCGCGAGGGCCAGGTGGTCGAGTTCACCATCATCCTCGACGGCGACAAGACCAAGGCCACCGACGTCACCGCCCCTGGCGGTGGGCCGGTTGATTTGACTCCTCGGAGGAGTGACAGCAGCAATAGCCGCGGGGGAGGGTACGGATACGGTGATCGGAGGAACGACGGCAATGGATTTGGTTACCGGAGTGGCGGCGGTGGTGGAGGGGGAGAGTGTTTCACCTGCGGCCAGTATGGCCATATGTCCAGGGATTGCACCAGTGGCGGCGGCGGCGGCGGAGGAAGAGGAGGAGGAGGAGGAGCCTGTTATACCTGCGGTGGGTATGGGCACATGGCTAGGGAGTGTCCCAGTGGGTCCCGCACGGGAGGCGGGAATTGTTATACCTGTGGGGAGGCAGGGCACTTGGCAAGAGACTGCGTGAGTGGTGGAGGAGGTGGCGCAAGTGGTGGATACAGCCGTGGAGGTGGTGGTTTTGGAAGGTTTGGGGGCGGTGGTGGAAACTGTTTCAACTGTGGGGAGTCTGGACACTTTGCTAGGGAGTGCAAAGAACCCCGTCGATCATGATTTGGTGGCTTTACTCCCCTTTCTTTGATTTTCTTGTCTTTGGACGTGCTGCTATTTTGGTTTTTTATTATGCTTAGCGGGTTTTATTATACCTATAATTTATATGATGGCGATTATAATGTTTGGAATGGTTTTTGACTAGTATTGTCTGATGATATATTCTCTTCCTGATTGGCTTCCAAATGTACTTTTGGTGCTTTAGTGACTCAGGATTTTGTTTTCTCTTCCTTTAAGTAATAAATAATTGTGTTGAAGCTGGTAGATTATTCTTATCTCTGCCTATTTTAATGAACAGAAAGGCTACTTTTGGGTGGACCTGTTGGAGTACCATACTTTTTCCAACGATATGCATGCTTTCAGAATGAAATGTCTTACACTAAGAAACAACATAAACAAAAGTGTGACATTTTATAACGTAAGTATGCACTTTTGCTACAAAAGTAAGACGGTTCAACCCGCCTAACGGTTAGGCAGCCTCACACAAGACTTGTGTTTACTGCCCATTCATTCATTTTTATATGTTTGTCTTTAAAAGTGAGGGTAATGCAAAAACAATTCGTCTATATATTTGGAAGTGTACAATTTACTGCATGAAAAATTGATGCAAGCACACTGCTATGCAATAATTACCGGCATGTGATATGTGTTGAATGTGATCTGTGTAGTAGTTCAAGATGGGATTTGTTCACTCCTTTGTGTCATAGGTTAGTATTACATATTTTGGAGATTGGCTTTGTGGGGTTTCTTTGCTGTTTTGGTCTTATTCATTTGAAATATGTACTCTTTTTTTAAACCATTACTAATGTTGTTGAGCAACATGTTATGATTTTGACTTTGGATGATTCTCTGGTTATTGGTGGATCTGCTTTCTCTTATGTGACATCTCTCAAGGTGATTTAACTTATTAAATTATTAAGTTTCTGTTCATATGAACCGATGTTACTCGCTTGATTTAGTTGCATGTAGTACTAAAATAAACATTTCTTGAATATTTTGTATAAGATTTGTGTTTTGCCATAGATGCTTGAAGCTTATAATTATATTTCAATATGAAGTTAGTAAATATGTCCCAAACTGTATAAACTGTCATTTTGCCCCATGATATTTGAAAGGTACTTTGGTTATATTTTGTTTCACTATGTAGTTCGTATATATTCTATCCCGCATGATCTGGTGTTATGTTCTATGATGTTTGCTAATGTAAAAGTGTGGATTGAATAATTAAGTGCTTCTCTTCCCTACAGAACTTGTTATGATGAAAATTAGTGTCTAGTTGCATTTGGGGCTCCTGATGGATATTCCATGCATGAAAATTTATATTCTTATTGTTCTGTTTGGGGATCACACTCAGGTCGATGTTACTATTATTGAGCTTTGAGCTTTTGATACCACCTATGGTATCATTTTGAGTTTGTACCAGCTGTTGTTTTATTTCTAGGATGAATCTTTGTATTATTTCTATATTAGTGGATTGCTAGGAACTGTTGTGAGAGCTCGTTCATAGGATGCCATCTTACCATTTATATATTGCAAGTGCTACAGATCCTTATATTCTCAATTCTCAAAAAAAGTCTAAGGAACTTTAGGACTTCCTGGATTCTGTTGCATTCCACTATTCACCACCCCTCACTTGTTGACTGTGACTTGGAATAATTTTCCTGAGGCATGTGTTAGCCTCTTTCCCTCCCATTGGTTTATGATTTTTTTTTTCTTTTTTCATGGTAAATTTGTTTTGTTGAATCCCTTGTGACATAAAGGTGTTGAATTAGTTTGACAATGATAGCTTCTGAACTCTCTTAATGTTTTTAAAGGAAATGAGCTGCTCGTGAGCTCGGCTCTGCTCAGGTCTTTAAGGCTCGAGTTCCGCGCTCAAACTCCCTTAAAGCTCGTTTCATTAACGAGTCGGGCTCGGCTAGGCTTGTTAATATTGATTAATGAGATGAGCTCGAGCTTGATTTCTGGCTGTTTAAGGACTCGCGCTCGAGCACCCTGAGTTGAAGCTCGGTTTTGACTCATTTACAACCAATTGTTTACTGTGTGGGTTGTCAGTCAACTCTTGGTTGTGTTTTCCATATGGATGTCATTACTTTGTGCAGATAATTACTTGCTTGAAACCTTGAACTGGTTTGTTTCCACAATTTGGACTTTGGCTGCGGCCTATTTGAACAAATTGTAGAACAAATGCAAATATATCACATCCAACCAAACATAAGACTTTGATGCATCAATTTCAAATGCTATCAGATCAACTTAAGTAGAATATAGGTCTCATGGTCGAGTGAATCGAGGCTCATTCAATTTGACCGGTTGATTAACCTTAAAGCAGGCATACCCCATGTGTTGGACTTATCCTCCTCCAACTCCAAAGGAAGCTCATGCTTCATTTTATCCTTCAATTTCAAATAATATTGTCAGCATTAACTTCTCATTGATGCACAAGTGATCCTTTCAAAAAATAAAAAACAATAACAAGATATAAAGAAACCATCACCTCATTCAGAAGTCGAGTAGAGAGTGGCAATGGCTTGGATATGGACTTTTTCCAATCATCTTTGTAGCAGACTTATGGAGGCTACTCTGACATGCGGACAATATCTGAATGATCACAAGAGTGCATTCCCCAAACGAGATGACAGTGACACCAACTTTCATCTTTTTAAAAAGGTGGTACTATTTACCGCCTCCCATTTTACTAGTCACCACCTCCTTGGACGATTTTGTCCTTCTCATTTTTTCTAAACATCTCAGAGGAAAGTGTACGGTGAAATGTCGTCAAATTCGGAAGTACGAAAAATTTTGTGTCCGGCCGCCGGAACCGGACGGCTTTTAGCCCGTCCGGCAGCCGGAACCGGACGGTTTTTAAGCCGTCCGGCCGTCCGAAAAGTTCGGCCGGTCGGACGGGCCATGTCCGAACCGGCCGGTCTACGCCGTCCGAAAACGACGGCTGATCGGAACCGGTCCGTCCGGTTCGGCCGGCCGGACAATTTTATTTTTTTTTAAATTATTATGTTATAAATTGGACTATATTATTATGTTATAAATTATTATGTTACATTTTAGACTTGATTATGCTATAAATTGGACGTTTATCGTGTTAGGAGTTACAAATTATTATTTTACATGTTGATTATAATATAAATTGGACGTTAGATATTATCGTGTTACGAGTTAGAAATTATTATATTACATATTAGTCTTAGTTATGTTATAAATTGACGTTAGATAGTATCGTGTTAAGAGTTACAAATTATCATGTTACATGTTGATTATAATATAAATTGGACGTTAGATATTATCGTGATCGTGTTAAGAGTTACAAATTATTGTGTTACATGTTTGACTTCATTATGCTATAAATTGGACGTTAGATAATATCATGTTATGAGTTACAAATTATTATGTTACATGCTAGAATTAATTATCTTAATTTAACATGTTCTAAAAATATAAATATTGTACTATATAGCAGAAGTCATGGGAAGATTTTAGAGGAGATGGTATTGATTACAGTCTGCGTTTCGATACCTGTACATTATATAATAGTGCTCAGGAGGCTATTGAAGCTGCAAAACACCAGGCAATGCTGAATGGTTTCCTATTAATAATTTCGAGCCACAAAAAGAAAATGGTCAGACTTTTGAAGTGCCATAGAGGCGAACGGTACAGAGGCACAGGCGGAAATTCTAGAAAGACAAAAACGAATAACTGCGGCTGCAATTTTGAGATCAAAGTAAAAAAGGTGTCCGACGCTCCATACTGGAGGATCTGTAGATGTAACAATGAAGAGAAATGCTACCATAACCATGCATTTGCTGTGTATCCTGAGGGTCATCGCCAGTTGAGCGGCCTCAGCGCTTCATCTAAGAAACTTGTTCGTGATATGACGGACGCTCAGGTGGCCCCGGCAAAAATTATGGCCGCGCTGAAGGAAAAGAATCCGGGAGACAACGTTCATGTGCGACAGGTATATATATTTATATCTTGTAATATATGTTTCAGTTAACTTTTTGAAGTTAATTATGATAATTAGTAATTTTTTATATGTAAAAGTTATTGTAATAATTAATATATTTTATTATATTTACTAATGTATTATTATTGTGATAGTTCATAATTTTTTTATCAAATTAATCGCATTAATATACTTTTTTATTTATTAATATAATAATTTTTTTGCTTTAAATTATAATAATCATTATAATTAACGCTAATCGGTGACAGGTATATCACTTTAGAGATAAGCTGCGGAGAGAGAGTTTCGACGGTAGAGACGTTCCTTCCCAGCTTATGCATTTGGCCATGAGCAGCGAGTATACAGTTTATGCAGAATCCGATCCGAACACGAAAGCGTTGACGCATATATTCATGGCCCATCCTGCGTCGATCAATCTATTCCGGACATATCACTGGTATGTCGGCATAGATTCCACGTATAAAACCAACAGGTATGTTACTTTATAAATACTTTATTAGTATGAATCTTAAATAGTGTGTTTGTTTGATTAAGTAAACTTTTATTTGATTATATTTTTTGTCTTCTTGGTCTCATTTGCACAGGTACAAGATGTCGTTGGTCGAGATGATTGGGATGACGCTGTGCAACCAGAACTTCCTAATTGCGTATGCGCTCATCAGGGACGAGAAAGAGGCCAGTTACGACTGGGTTCTAGAGAAGTTGAGACTACTGATAGGCCAAGGCGTATATCCTTATGTTGTTGTCAGTGACAGAGAGTTGGGTTTACTCACTCCTATTCAGAGACATTTTCCTGAATCAGCCCACTTACTCTGTACATGGCACATCAACAAAGATGTGGAAGCCAGAGCCTACAAACTATTTGGGAAGAGTAAAAAATTCTCGGAGATTTTCACGCACAGTACGTGGAAGGCGATTGTAGAGGCCAGTACGTTCGATGTCTACACCGATGCCGTTGCCGAGCTGCACGCAAAATATTCAAAGTCTTCAGAGGTGATACGGCATGTGGAGGGCACATGGTTAGGGC